TAGAGCGCAAAAAGAACTGTGAAGAATAGATTTCTTATTCATTCTCATTTCAAATTCAGTATGAATCTTAGTTATTTATATTCAAGGAATATATAGCTTTTTTTCCCTGCAAATACTGCTGCATACAGTACTTCTACTACTCACCATTTGACTTAATTACCAAACTCTGGTTTTAGTCTTAAGAAAAGAGAAGGGGGGTGGAATCAATCAGGTGCTAGTCTCAGAAGTCATGGAGTAGCAAAATTTTTTTTTTAGCATTCAGATAAAATATTTGTAGATATATACAGATATTTAAAAAAAAAGCATGACTGACAGAAAACAATAAGGAAATGTTACCTACAAACCACTGGACCACCCAAAGTTTCTTTGTCCTAAATATGTACTTTGGAGCTTCAGCCCCCTCCAGTAGCATCTGCAGTATAAATATTCATAGGGAAAGATGGGCCAGTATAACCTCTTGTATGCACCACCCAGTAGAGTTTCTGAAGCTCATGCCAGAGTGATAAGTAAGGTACAACATCAGTCGATCCTCATTACATACACTGATATGCAGATAAAAGTATCATCAATACAAGACATTCATCATACCAAGCACAAAGTACCATTTTAATTTTTATGTTGATACAGAGCTTTGTCTCTCAAATATTCTTCTAAACACTGAATCGCAAAAGGGTCAACATCCGTATCAAATTTGTTAGCAAAGAAGTGGTGTTTCCACAACATCCCATTCAAATCTCCCACCCCAAACACACACACAGAACGGACATGAATTCCATGGCATGGTGGATAGGGAGCACCATTAAATACATCCCCTTCAAAGTACTGCCACTTCACAAATCTGGCAAGGGCATTCATATCAGAAACATCATACTTATTGCTGGAAGAAACTGCACCTGGAACTTCTGGGATTCTTTGAATGGTAGCCCACAAGTATTCATCAGGGCTATACGTATCTTTAGCCCATTCAATAAATTTAAGGATTTTGCTGTTTTCTAACACATATTCTACAAATCTCCTACTAACAACAAAATAGGCACTGCCAGAAAAAATTGGTGTACTAAGAGGTGGTAGTTTTTTGTCTACACCCATGTTTTTCAGCTTTCCATCAACAATTTCATAATGTTTTTTCCATCGTACTTCTTTGTTTGGAGGCATTTTCTCAGTTTCTAAACTGTTTTCACCTTTTAAGGCTTTCAGTTTCTCCACAATTTCCTCATTGGTTTTAATGGGAAAGTCCATGCCACAAAGATTTATCAAATATTTCCATTTTGTATTCCTCCTGTAGAGGTCTTTCATGCAGTTAAGGTCTGCTTGTACCCTGCTCCATGATGCATACACCACACTTTCCATTTGGCTGGCAATAAAGACATTATCAAAACATGATGCAATTCCCTTCACTGCAGCCAGATAAGATTCTGGAGACTTTTTGTCCACATGAATGCAGTAGTAATTCTGAGGAGTATAGATTGACCTTAGAAGTCTCTCAAACATATCAATTTTGTGATAAACCACAATTGAATAGGCAATAGGAAATTCAGCTTCTTCTTTGCTGAGGGGTTCCATAATATACCTCCGCATCCTGATGAAAGAAGTGCAATCTGTTGTTATATTAATATAATCATTTGCTGTCAACTTATGGCGTTGTTTAAATGACACAGATAACATCTCAAGCTTTACTTTTTGAATTTCCTCTGTATCACCATGCAGTATCTTGGTGCAGTTAATATGGCTGGCAGGGTCTTCACCAGTCAGGTACAAATGTCTGCGATTTAAGTGGTCTGGCTTCTGGTTGATTTTTAGAACAGAAAATACTAAGAAAGAAAGAATTAGCACCAGAAGGAGAAGCCTAAGACTCTGACACTGACGGAGTTTTCTTTTCAGCATTTCAAACACCAGATTACTTCTCTTTGCTGAATAATTTTCTCCGGATACTTGATCTCATACTTCAGCAAATCATTAATTTGCATTCCTTGAAAGTCTGCTGTGTTTGCATCTTGGGAAACTGAAGGAAAAACCCTAAAAAGACAGAAGAGAAATAGAAGTAATCTTTCAGACATTTTAAAAGTAGCTGAAGTAAGTTAATTTAAACATCTTTGTTACATACTAATGAACAGTCCGAGTGGGGAAAAAAGGGATTCTTGAAATTATAGAAGGCATATTAAATAAAGCTTGTCAAAGTTTAGACTGGTGAAAAATTAAATGAAAATAGTCAACTTCTCATGCATGTGTTCTCCAATTTTGTGACCAGCTCTAGTACTGCACCCCCAAATTTAAAATGTTAGTTAATGAACATGCAACCTTTCCTGCTATGTTAGTGAATGATTTTAGTAACATTTATCTAGGTAATCAGCCACTAAAACTGTTGAATTCCTTTAAAATTATTACCACTTTAAAACAAAATATGAAGATCTTTTGTAGAGATGGCTCATTCAGCTCTGAACAAGTAATTCAGCTAACCAACCAGTAATGCAGAGTTTTGCATCATTCATTCTGGAAAATGCAATGTGTTCAAGGCTAGTAACTTTTAAAAGTTTTGTTCGCATTTTAATTTACCATGCTTATTTTCTGGAGACTATTTCACACTTCACCCTCATTTGTAACATGGCCCATATGTAGATTCAGCATTTCCTTCTTGTGACATACACCTTTAAACATCCTGAAAGGGGAGGATGGATGTGTCCCTAGGCGATCAGTCAGGAAAAATCTGAAAAATAGGAACAAATACTTTAGATGACTACCATGCTAGCTGTCAGAAAACTCGTGTAAAAAGCTCTCAGACTGAAATGTTATTGTTATCTTTACAGCTCTGTTCTGGAGAATTATTTAAATTGCACCTTTACAAAGATGCTCCATTACCCCTGTATATGTAAAACAACTCCAGTCACTTGATATCAACAGCCAGGTACCGGACAAATCCAGAGCACCAGTGTGGTGCCTTTTCTAATTCAGAGATTAGAATAGCTTGCATGTCTCTTAAGGATTCCTGTAGTAGAACTTTAATGAAAATATCTGGTAAACTAGGTGCAAAATAAATGAAATATTAAGTTATAAACTCAATACACAAAAATAGAAATCTTCGCAGGTACTTCATATGCAATGTGCTGAAGCTATTAGGCCTATTAACCCTTAAAAATTCATAAGATTAAATAAGTTAGCATCTCCATTTCAACATTTTCCACCAAAAAAACCTTTCCTATCACAGCATAATGGTTGGGACAGACATTCAAGAAGCCTGAACCTGAATTGATTCAATCTTTGCAGGTTAGTCTAACCTGGCTAGGCTAAATCAGTTTTGTAACCAGACAGACACCGCAGAAATGCAGGCACATGCCTGCAGTGGCTCAGGCTAGAAGCCAGGGGGTGCTAGAGCAGCCCTCCCTTCCCTTGCACATCACTGAGCTGAGGGGGATGTGGCCAGGCTCCAGCAGGATGTTCTGATTAACCCAGCAGCTAACAGTGTTTATCACCCTGACTCACTGTTTATCACCCCATTAAGAAAACAGACAGACATTACCAGCTACGGGTTGATTTGCTGCATGGACCATAGCCAGTATGTAGTCTGCTAGCTAATACACAGACACCTCCTTATCAAGGCAAAGGGGAGAGGAAATTCCTGATTAGCAGGGAGTGGTGAGGTGGAGAGGGAGCTGCAGCCAGGGAGCAGAGGGGAGGGGCCAGCCCTGCTGTAGAGCAGAGCGTCTCACCCAGCCCAGAGAGCATGCCAGGATGCTAGGGGAGTCCGATTCACTTTAAACCAGCAAGGGGTCTGGGACAGACATTGCATAAACCGGTTCGAGCCAAATCCGTTGTCTGACACTACATTCAACCAGGTCTCTCTCAAACTAGTTTCAGCCATTTTCAAAATGGTTTATGTGCACTGAACCTCTGTTCTGTTACAGGTTTAAAGCAGTTCCTGATCACTGAAACCAGTTTGTGTGTAATGTCTGTCCCTAGCCAAAGTGAGCCTGTAGATAGGTAGGCAGAGTTAGGAGATGTCTGAAGAAGGCTATGCCTAAGAGGGTTTGCCAAAATGTTTTAGAATCTTGATCAAGACAAGCTTTTTAAAATATAATCAAGAAGGGGGTTCCATACATGAGATGCAACTATTTAGACACAACAATTTTGCTTTTAAATGCATTAAATAACAGCACAGATTTTAATGTCTGGGGTTCCAAACAGAATGCTTTATTTCTTAAAGTGATGAGAAAGAAAGATACCCTTATGGGACGTGTCTCAACTAGCATGCATGTGCAAGGGTGCACATTTCCTGTGGGACAAACAGCAGTGGCACATATTTGTGCCACTGCTATTTATCCCCAGGCACATCCCTGCACATGCATTCTGGCACATGGCAAAGTAACCCAGGTAGGGTAGGAGAGGTTGGGTCAAGCAGCCGGGTGGGGTTCTGGGAGCCTCCCAGGGCAGCAACTGCACTGAGCCAGCTGCTCAGAGTCTGGTCCGCAGTCAGAGTGCAACTCTCCCTGGCCTGGCTCCCTTTCTGGTGACGCATGCTGCTGCTGTGTGCACCATGCTGCTCTATTCACAAAAACCACTGTGCTGCAAATTAACAGTGTGGCAAACAGGTGCACATGTGCTGCATGTGGCTTGCAACATCTCAAACTGCTTTGAGGCACCACAAGCCACAGGGCACACTGACTGCGACATGCTCACGGAGTCCACAGTTCTCTCTGACACCGTGTTAGTATCACTTTTTATCTAGAAGCAACAGCCCTGAAAGATTTTACTAACTCAATACTATTCCAGGGCTTTCTAAAAGATAAATAAATCCTTACGTAATTGGGGTTACATTTATATTGCTCTTACAAATGGTCTGAAAGAACTCACTATTTACTACTACAGCTGGTCCATCAAGTGTTTTCAGGGACCTTTTGCTCTTTGTTTCGTTAGTCTTCCTCCCCAGAGACATGGAGCAATGCCTCTGCTCTCCTCCCCTTTGCACCCCTCTCCCACCATTTCCCTTCCCCTGGAAAGGAGGCAGAGAGGTTGAAGAGGATGAAAATAAAACATAAAACAAATGCCCCCTTTGAAAAAAATTTCAAGTTGACTAAAAAAAGAAGCTGTTTTTGAAAATGTATTAGGTCTAAATTTCTCCCCCTAATTTTTAATGAATAACTTAAAACACCATCAAGTCTGGAAAATTGTATCAAAGTCAAGAAGAGTTTTATACAGCCTCGTTAACCATGAGTTGTTAGCTTGTATGCTAATATTAAGTCTTCAGCTCAAGTTTCTCAATCTGTGTCTGATGCTTTGCAATAACAATGACACTTCAACCAGTCTCAAAGAGAGATGCATGATCGTTGTAGCCGAGATCAGAATTCTTTCAAAGTTTTTAGAATGGACCAGACATTTATGAAGCCACTCAGTGTACTCTGGCCAGTTGTTTCATGCCTAGTTGTTTCTGTGTGGCATTGTCAACAATTAAATTGGATGGTAAGAAAAAAAAACTGGAGTGATAACAAAACAATCACAGGATGGGGAAAGGAGGCAGTTGATAGTGATACAAAATAGAGGAAGAATAACTAAGCAGACTTTAGGTTCACCTGGTTTACTTGAAAGCCAAACATTCTGTGTGTCTGAGGAAAGAATTTCAATTAACCAGTATTGTGGGAAGGTACAGGACACAAATGAATCCTGTTTCAGACAGTCAGCAGGAAAAAGCTTTGGCCAGAGGTTGAGAAGATTGATTTCCCTTTTTTAGCCCTCTGTTTTTCAAAAGATATAGACAGTTTAAAAAAGTAAGGATGATGCTTTGAATTAAACATAGGTATTTTTGACATCAGGACAAAACACGTGTACGTGAGTTCGACACATGCAGGGCAGTGTGTTAATCACAAAGGCTGCTGACAGACTGGGGCGGGGCAAAAAAGCAGAGCTTTAACCGGAATAGGAATTGCATCAGAATCTGTATAGCTCATGCTTCTGTGGGGCTTTTTGGCATTTTAGCTGGTCACTGATTCAATCAGCTATTAGATAAAAGCACCAAAGAGGCCTGCTGAAGCACACGAGCAATATAGACACAGGAGAGCCGAGTCAAACTGATGCAATTCTTCTTCTGGGCATATGTTGCGCTCAGTGTGGGGGTGCACTGAACAGAAAGTAAAGCATTCTACCAATATGTCTGTAAGAACCCAAAAGTATGGCTTTTAGTAATGATGTAATGCAGTGTTTTTCAACTATTTCAGACTTAAGGCACCCCTCCATAACTTCTGTGAACTGAATGGCGCCCAGTTTCAAAAACTAATTTATATATTACCATGATTACCACCTTGCAGAGGGGCTGAGTAGTGGGGGTAGGGGTGGGGGACTGACCAGGCAGAAACAAGCCTGAGCCTGCCCTTTATCTGCTCATCTCCTTGTTCCTGGAGGCACCTTTCAAAGTATCTGACTGCATCTATGGATGCCACCATACCCTGGTTGAGAACCACTGATGTCATACATAATCTATGATATAACTGAACAAATGCAGCCCTGCAACACCAAATCAAGTGTCTTTCCTTTCTTTCTTCTCATGTAAAATTCTCAGTGGTTTTATTTAGTAGGGTTCTGTTTTGCCAGCATATCTGAATTGCACATCAAAGAACCAGACATTTGAGGGGCCAGTGCCATGCTATATGCCAACTGAAATGTTCCATCATCCTCCCAGAAAAAAACCCCCCCAGACCCACAAGTCAGTCAGCCCACTGTACTGTGTGCAGGCACAGTGGCTGTGCAGTTGAGGTATCTCTGGATCCATACTGAAACAAGAGTTTGAGCACAGCTCCAGATTTCTACTGGCTGCTTCCAATCAAAACAATCTGTAAACTGTTGCCTAGGTAAAATAATATGGCATAATGAAGCACTATGGGGAGGTACCAAGGCTAGCTCCAAATCAACCAGTCTGAGTACCAAAAGAAGTCCATCTGGGTTTAGTGCAGTACTTTCCCTGGGCTAATATAATTTCAGCAGGGCTAAGGGTGAGATTACACATTTAAGAGAGCAGGT